AACTATGATAAGTGATCTAACTTTAGAGCTGCGGTGTATACAATGTAAAATACTTCCCTTCGTGAGGATTGAAGAAAAGTTTATTATACCGTCAATCTTCAGCTAAATTTTATTTGATATTAAAGTAAGAATTAGCTACATATTTGAAACACTTACATTTAATATTGTCATCTGAAAATATACAAAATAATACATCAAATAACCTCTACTATCAATTATGGCCTATTGTAATTTTTAATTAGAATACATTTCAGTAGACTCTGTTGAGTTTATTAAACTAGATAAAGCAAAAAGTAATCTGTTATTTTTTTTCTGAGAACGTCTCGATCGACATCCTTCGAATATTCTCCTATATACAAGTTCTCAGTTTCCAAACTGTTTATGGGAACAAATAAGGGTGTCGGACTACGCAACGTTTTTTCTTCCCATGCAGTTAGTTTTGTTGCATCTTTTGAAGTCTTAAGACGTACCTTCTTTTTAATTTAGAAAATGTAGGACAAAAAGACAAGGGTTGTGTTTTAGATCTTTATTCTTTGAACGTTCTAGTTCGACTGGCTGTCGAACGTCTCCACGTGCCTTCTAAAGCGTTCGACCAATTCGCTACGCACTACGCACGGCCAATCTACAAAATATACGGCCTGTCACCGCCAAGAGGCTATGTGTAGGTGACACTCGAGACGTAGCTTATCTCGCCTACAAAAAACATGTTTTATTTTTATTTATCATCAAATCCTAATAGACTCTCGTTATATTGCCACAAAAATTTTTCAAATTTCCAAATTCTCAGTTGGAGGCAAAAAAGAAGATAAAATTGTATCATTTTCGTAAGCTTTGGTGGTGAAAAAGTGGCACTAATCCGCTTGAAAACCTATTGTATATAAAGGACAAATCGCTCACGGCAATATAACGAGTGTCTACTCTAGAACGTCAATCACTCGAATGTCGTTTAACAGAATCGTCGCGTCGGTTATCCGAATATTGGTTATTGGAGCAGAATGAGTTATGTATTTAAGCTATGTAACAATGTTTACATTTTAGAACGGGTATCCTTCGTGATCCAAATGTCTAAATTTAGTATCTGGTTTGAATTTAGTACGTACACAAAAGTATTCGTACGAAGTATTAGTTCATAACTGAAACTAGTACAGTTCCCAGCAGGGATGGCTGTAACAAACGAGATAAACGTGTCAACATACAATGAAAATTACGTTCTGAAATTTTTGTTCATTAAGGACACAGACTCATTGTGCCATCATCTGTATGCGTGCACTCACACAAATAACGGAAAGCATGCATGTATACGCCATGCGTAAGACACTCGATTTCATAGATTCCACTTTTCATCTCGATAATTACATAAATGAAATTTTCTCGGGTACAGCACACACCGGTAGACTTCGCTACAGGTCGGTCTGGTCCGTTTGAACGCTAATAAACACCATACGTTGAGAAAAATGGTATTTTCGAAACTGTAAGATTGAGACAGACGCTGTTATAAGCAAACAACATGGCTCCCGAATGCTGCGTTCGGCTGCATTTTAGCAAATATTGGACGATTTAATGGTTTTTTCACTGATAACACACCAGACCACCCTTTCTTGAACTAGCACAATATCACTGAAATCCGATTTTTCATAATTTATCACTTCTGGGAGACGTAAAACGTAATCTACGATTTGCACGTATCAGACGTAAGAATAGTTCACTGATTCTCCGTCAGAGTCATTTATGGTATATTTGACCACGTTATCATCAGGGTCGATAGAAACACAAATCAGTCGATAAATCTAAATTCTAATTTGACACCACAAACGCTACGCAAATACAGCCACAAGTAAGGCATAGTTGCCGCAAGGTATTAAGGGGGTAGACACGGCACATGACCTCTCCGATTCGGGACGCCGGTATTACAGCAGTTTTTTCGTTGGGCCTAGTGGAGCCACTTGCGTGGTCTGGTACGAACTTGAAAGGTTTAATTCTCAGCTAGCGTGCGCGCAACACGATCTAGGAAGGCAACAGCGCCTCAAGTATTTTTACAAACTTTTTTATTTTTGACTTTTTTTTATCGAAACTTTTACTAGCGCATTGGTGAAATTTTTCTGATTAAAATGATACTAAACACGATATAGTTTGAATGGGGCGAGGTTATGGAGCGCTGTGAAAAATCCAGACGGGCCGCAGTCAAAACTTAGCGAAAAAGGACAGTCTCAACATTCAGAATGAGAGAAGGACAGCATGACTGTAGTGTGTCTCACTCAGCGTTCGGGCGATGTTGCCTTTTTCGCTTGCCTTCGCAGCACAGTTTGAGTGACGTAATCAAGCTAACGCTTGATTCTGGCTACGATTCCAGATCAGCAGCCTTTTTAGTTTGTCGCCACCTTATAACTACTAGCTGAACTAATTTTGTCACGTGACTTGCTCTGTATTATCCAGATAATGGCGGAACTCGTCTGTGGGAATGCTTTTACGGGAATACACTTTTCGTCCTTATATGAGAAGATTTTGATCTAAATAAGGGTTCATTCGAAAGAGGAAGGTTCAATGCAGGGCGGTCTGGTCACCGTTTGAGTCACAGAACTGTTTTAGTGAGTTAAAAAATACTTGGAATCTACGGATCTGTTTTGTCGATTTTTCTTCTACTTTGGACACTCATATTATTAGATATCAACACAATCGCGTTGAACCATGACCAGACCGTCCTGCATTGGACCATCCTCTTTAGAATGAGCCCTCACCCAGCCCTAAATCTTCTTATATAAGTGTTAGATTCCCGATATTTAATAAATATTTTATTAAATTTTGGTACACGGAAATTTTACAAAGAACACTCAGGCTAGTTTTCTACTGCTTTTCTATCGGTCTCTCTACTTTGTGCTCACGTTAAAATCTAAACTGAAGGGAAAAATGTTCTGTATTTAAAAGGTCGGGAATTTGGAATTGAAAGTGGTGGGAATGAGGATTAGGACCAATAGGAATCGTTGGAAATTGGTAAGGTTCGAAGGGTCAAGCGAGTGATTCAAGGATGGTGAGTAAGGATTTCAAGGTTCGGATGTGTAACTGTAAATAGAAGATAGTATGGCTGGAGACAGATTTTAGATTTCACTTATCCTAACTTAAATACGAAAAGTTAAAAATATTTGCTTAACCTATGAGGTATCCAACAATAAGGACGAAAAGTGCATTCCCGTAAATCCCTGTTTAGGCCCACTTTTGCCGGTAATGTCACCTCGCTGCATTACCCGTGTCTACCCCTGTAACTTGTTTATTGCAGAGAGCACTTGCTGCAAATTCTTATAATTAATTGTTTTAAACTAAACTCAAACTATGAACAACCTTAATTAACTATTAAATGTTTGGCATCGCACACAAATAACTGCGGAACTATGCGCACTTTGTCTGAAGTACAATGAACTAATACGTTTTCACTTCGACGGTTCGCGTGAGAAGGAAGCGTTTTCCTTCTCTGGGAAAAACCTTGCGCGCCCCGGAAGTATGTGGCTCCTTTTTTTCATCTTGTGCAAACTTCCCGGAAATGCACTTTTCGCGTCGGTAAAGTTGGTACTCTATACGCCGCCACAGGTCTCTCGCAAGCGCTCGCCCGGCATGCGGTTCGAATAAATACAAGTCTCGAACCGCGGTATGATAGGTGTTTGGGGCAGGGATGGTCTGTTGTCAGTCCCACTGTCGAGTCTGACAGACGATCCCGAGACGAAACACCGTTTGTTTTCTCGCATTCTACAACCGTTTTAACCCTCAGGGGTTTGAATATCCAAAAATCCATTCTTAGCGGATGTCTACGTGTCCATACAGTGAACTAAACTAACTTTCAAATTTCAAGTTTGTAGGTTTTATAGTTTCGGAGATTTTCATGCTAAATGTGTCCGAAGATATCACTTTTATGGTAGATTAGCTTTTCTTTATACTGTCAATCGAGACCCAAATTTACAAAACATGTTCATAGGTTAAAAAAATAATTTTCAGAGGAACAGTGTGAAATTTAGAAAATGAAAATAACATGAAATGCAAAATTAAATTAAAACTTTGGCTCTCTCCATGGTCCGCTCTCTAAGGATTATTGTCATAACATTATCCAATACGAATTCACATATAAAGGACAGACTGTGAATGGTACATTTTGCAAGGAAATAGTGAACAATTGCTCGAGAGAATCCACCGGGTACGACCGAATTTATTCCAAAGTGGACAGTGATTTATTTTGTAGGACAACGCACTGACACATACTTTAATAATGGCGAGCCAATTTCTGACCCGAAAAACAGGTGACAACTTTACATCCTATTTGTCGAATTTAACTTCAGTAGTGGTGTTTTTTATTTTTGGAAGTCTGTTTTGAACATTCAGGGAATCATAATAAATTCTTTAAAAGTTATTACAAATAATGATTTCCCTGGAGCACTTCAAGGACTTTTGAAGCGCTGCAAACTGTATATTGAAAATATGAGAGATTATATAAAGAGTTAAATTAATTAAATTTGTTGATGTGCAAAATTGATGATGTTACTAAATTATTCCAAGAATTTCCCGCGTAAACCATGTATGCACGGAATTCTTCATTGAAGTTATACCCACATGGTATATCTTGTATAATATCATTTTAAACAGTGTTGCGTTGCAACAAGCATTTTTATATGCATCCATACGTGTTTTCTACAGGGTGTCCCGTAACGCATTTGCACCCTCTGAGGGGGTGGTAGGTGGTATAGCGCGCGGGCTCAGGGACGGCAGCGTCGGCTACGAAAACGGGGCTTGACGTAGATTGCGAACGAGCGGCTCGGCACCCCATTGGCACAGCAGAATAAAAAAATTGAACTGGTTGAACATTTTTAGTTGTTGTTTAAAATAAATACGGAATCTAATCTCTTGTCGCCTGTCATTATGTAAAAAAGGAAATTCTAAACATTCTAAACAACAAATAAAAATGTTTGAAATGGAATAATTAATAAAAATTTAAAAATAATTTAAATGAAACTTACCCATTCGTTCCTAAATTAACCTGCTATGCTAAAAGCAGATAATTCTCACTGGGTCACTGTGTCGATCCTAAACTTTCGAAGAACAGCTGATCTCCAGACAAGATCATTGAACCCACTCAACCACACGGTCACTATCACCTTTCACAGAATTTTCGTTCATGTAAATAAACATTTTTATTCACTGTCACGTTGCACAGGTGAAAAACATGTAATATTCCGCACTACTTCGTAACGTTTTTCACATAGTCCACATTTCATTAGCTGTTTCTAACCATTTCTCTTTACTTGGAGTTGGAATATATTCAGCTAATAATATTTCATTAATTGCTCTACAAACTTCAAGACAAATACTTCGTACGGTTGAATGACCAAGACGTTTTAAAAGCAATCGTTTGATAGGAATCTCCAGTAGCTAAAAATCTGAAAATACAAAAGGGTCAATAAAATTAATATCCAATTTGATTTGATTTGATTTATTAAATGTATTATTTCCTCAATTACAGGTGCAAAGACTCGCTGGGAGTGTTTGCGGGGCCAGTACCGAAAATATTTATCAAAACTGAAAACTAAAAGCGGACAAGCTGCGGCCAAAATAACGAAGTGGCGATTTGCCGTTCAAATGGAGTTCTTAACAACATATATTAATGCGGAACGGCCAAGACTGTCGACGATAAACGAAGACACACAAAATATAGAAGAGACTATAGACGATTACGAATTAACACCAGCAGTTCCAAAAAACAAAACAGCCAAGGGTACTTCAGAAGAGGAGAGCGCCTCCTCCACACTTATGAAATACTTACTACAAGAAAAGGAAAGTGAACCGAAGGAAAATCATCCGATTGACACCTTTTTCTCATTAATGTCTACTACCGTAAAAAACTTTTCGCCAAGAGATCAACTTATTGTAAAAAATAGAGTCTTTAATTTAGTAAGTGAAATAGAAGAGAAATATTTACATATACAGTTCCCCTTCTCCACCCTTTTCCTCCCCACCAGCCACTGATTTTCCATACCAACCACATACCTCCCATTTCATTGCACCACCACCGTCAACAGTAACACAAACTGTACCTTATCCGTCTACACCTCCACCAGCTCATAATAATTTTAACAATTTTGATAAATAAGTTTATGTATATAGTTTATAATAAAAACAATTACTCACTTTAGACATACCATTAATTTTTGTCTTGGAGAAATAGCTTCTCGAAACGTGGTATTTTTCTTCAAAATTTTCTTCTCAATTTTCGTAAGTACCATTTCAAATGTACGAAAATCCATTCTAAAGTACTTAATAAATTTTTCTTCATCTTTCATTAGATGACGATACAGCGTATAATATTTGCCTTCACTTTTTCTCGTTAGTAAACTTGGATGCACCCACATTTTTCTAAAAGTTCTCTTTTGCTAAAAGTTAAGATCAGAAAACTTAATCAAAAAGTTTAAATTGTTAATATATTATATAAATAAATGACTGTTAACCAACACACAGTTTAGGGAAAGAGGAGTTCATACTTTTCTGAGAGCTGTCTCTGGTATGAGAAACGTGGCGGGTCGACGCAACGTATTTCCCTAGGTTGGTCGGTTAAGTTGAGCGCCTCTGACGTTCAGCCTGGCTTTGCCTTATGAAGGGGCGTTGCATTGGTTTTATTTTTTTTTAACTATGATGTACCAATCCGACACTCTTGAAACTTTTACAGATAATAGTTAAATAGCAAAGGATTATTCTTAATTTTTTCGGTGGATGTGACTCAAGGGATTGTTTATAAAAATCACTTTCAAAAGTTTATTTATTAATTTTCAACCCTTAATCATCGAATAAAAATTTTGAAAAAAAAAAATGAAATACAGCTAATGAATACCTATTATTTGCACTTTAATGTGTTCAAATATCTTACAATTAAATAGTTTCCGAGAAAAACAGTAATGTTTTGGGGTTTACCCTCATATCTCCCTTATCAGAGGGGTAGGGGGTTAAAGTTGCATACAATTGTTGTTTAGACAAAAAACATTATGTGGTATAAATATTAACCGAAATTGTTGCTGGGGCCGATTCACTATGCTTATACGGCTAGACCCTTTAAGGAAAGTAATTTTCTTCGTAAAATTTTATTTGCAACAATGTATTCTTCTTTGCAGGCAATAGCGCAGTTAGGGAGGAGCGGAAGAGACAGAAGTGTTATTTGACCTCCCATTAAGAAATTAAAAATCTTTTCCTTTCAATAAATATTAGATCATTTGGGAAAATTTCAAAAGCCATTGAGGATAGACAAAAATGAAAAATATGGGACTTGATATAAAAAAATGTTTCAACCCTTCGCTTCCTTTATAGAACAATTGTGGTTACGTCATTGATTGTAGGTATTTTTTAAAGGGTTACATATAACAGTAGTTAAATTAGGTTGTATCCTTAATACTTTCAATTCAACATTTTTCTATTTGGATTGTAATTTTGTATTGTTAAAATAAAAAGTATTCTGCACATTGCTATATTATGTATTATCATAGTGCCAATCAAAAATAGTAGTACTGTATTACTTCGAATTTAGCCGTATTTTTTATTCAAATTTGTAAGACGTAAAATTAGAATGTGGCTTAAATTCAAAGAGAATATTTTAACACCCTATTTCTGCCTATCTCCCACTCCCCAATAATCAGATCTTTGGGTTTTGCAATTTTTGAAAGATATCCCGGAAGAATTTAGCAAAAAATCTTTTTTAAAAGTTGCATCACTAATGATTTAAATGGCACTAAAGATGTGCTCCAGTGCAATAGTGAGATGAGATTTCAAGTTCTGAAGGTGAAGATGTCGAAAGTGATAGTATAGGGTTAATCAAATTGAGTGTCACATCTTCAAATTGAAATAAAACGCAAAGTATCTGATTTCTGTATGGTTTGTTTATTTTAATAAAAAGTCTATTTCATTACATTAATTATGAAAGGCAATATCATTCAAGGGTCCTTCTCCGCTATTTTTCGCGAGCTCGATACGTTTGACCAAATTTAATGACGAGTAATTTTCCATGAGGAGGAAACATTAATTGCCAACATGATTGGGTGATTTAACACCATTAGACTTTTTTTATGGGGTTTTTGGAAAATGAAGTTTACGCCAACAATCCAAAGACTATTGGCGAGCTGAGAAACAAAATTACAGACGCCATTGATGAATTCCAGTTATGTGAAAATGTAACGGAAAATTGGTTCAAACACATCAGGTTCGTGAAAAAAGTCAAGGACATTTGAATAATATTGTCCTTGATAATTAATGTCATACAGTAGACTTTGTGTTAAAATAAAGAAACCATACAAAAATCACGTACTTTGCGTTTTATTTCAATTTGAAGATGTGACACTCAATTTGGAATATCTGAAGAAGATTATCAATAAATTAGGTAACTTATTATATTTATATTTGTACTTATTTAAGTTAATTAAATTTTTTCCTATTTTTCAATACCTATTACAAAATCATTTTTATTTTTATTATTTCTTCCAATTTTCCAATTTTAAATTCGAAGTAATACAGTATATAAACTACGGGGTAGAAATAAACTAAAAATAAAATAAAATAAAACATTCACTGGAACGTATATGTCCTAGCAGGATCGAAAAGATTAATTACCTCTGTGTAGGATCAGTTTACAAACTCGTTCTATCTGAAACGTACCAGGATACTCTTGCAATTCTTACGATAACGTTCGGCACAAAGCAAGTAGTATCATTGTGGAAGGAAAATGTGAGTAAGAAAAGTTATCGAGTGCTGTTTTCGTGGCTCATCCGACAATGAAAAGTCGATCGGTCGAGAGGAGAGGATGAACACCTCTTTTTCGAAACGCACCACTAGCCCATCCCTAGGTGGCTGCTAGCTCGACCGGCGCGGCGCACGCGCCCCAACGCCCCCGACTATAAGAATCCGATCGGCACTGGTAGCGACTTCAGTCTACCCCGTACTGGCAGCCGGTGTTGTGGTGCTGATTGTCGTGTCGCTTCACCATCGTTCGAGCCCTTCCGTCGATGACGTCCTCGGTATGTTGCTTCTCGCGTATCAGTGACAAAGAACGTACCGCGGAGCAAGGGAAGAACAGAGAAGGAGACAGTGTGCGCGCGAAAGAGAAAGGGAAGGGGGTGTGGGAAATAGAGAAGGTAGAGGAGAAAAAGAGACCGGTTTCTACTCTTTTCTCCATACCCCTTTTCTGAGAGAGCCGAGCGTCGTCAACGTCACCAGCGACGTGGATATCCTGGACGATCAGCGTACGTTCACATCGAAAGAAACGATCGTATACTTTTGTAGTGGCTGCCCGTTTGTTTCCTTATTTTCGCCTGTAGTGACTGTGATCATGGTTCCTGCGCTTCACCGGAAACACTATCCCTTTTGGAATTCCTATCGACGGATCGTTCCGTCCTGATGGAAACTAGTAAATACACCATCCGTATTGTAACGATTCGTACAAAAAGTGGGAAACTTCCTATTCCAATTTCGTTTAACAAACTCACGTTCCTAGCTGTTTTCTGTACACCAGTCGGATACATTGACTCGTGTCAATCAGGTTTTCCGCTGTTACCGAGTGAATCTATAGTAAGATTAGCCCCGGTTCGTTGCCGTCGAAAAAACGTTGACGTACTTTTACAAACGTTAATGACTTATGAAACAGGAACTTTCGTAATTTTTACCTTAATTTAATTCAGAAGTACGTACCGTAGCAACGTCCTTTCCGCTTTTCTGAAGTTTCAAAATTTGTTAACTTGAAACTTTAATAACGGTACTTTAAACACTTTTTTTTTTTTTTAATGCTTTTGTACAGCAGTAAACTGGTGTAGTCGTTTATGTTAAATAAAATTGTAAAGAGGTGTATAAAAAACAGCGTATTGAATGAAAGCGAATAAACTTAAAATTTTACTACTTAATCAAGACGTTTTTTGAATAGAACCGTCCGAATACTGCATCGACTTTTCTATCGTCGAATCGAATGTTTCACTTTACTATTTTCCATTTAACGCAATATCGATAAAAATGGGATTTCACACGTGTGTAGTATTTGGAGTAGAAATGAGAATATCCTGTAGTTTGAACGATCTTTTCGAGAAGGAATTTAAATGTTCGTGTTTGCTGATATATCTATTAGTCATTCAAAATTTTCTTTTTTAATTATTTTTAACCATTCTTTTATGTGTGTGTATAAATGTAAAAATTTTTTTCATTTGCAAGATATGTATTAATTTCATTGTTGTGACAAGTATACTGCATTTACAAAAGAACACACAGAACTAGAACGTGTAGATGTGAATTTTATAACTTAATATCATGTTTGAATAAATAAATTTAGTAAATGTTATTTCTAACCGTCGATTCTTATCTTTTCTAAACATTTTTAAATTTACAGAAATTTATAATTGAAGAAATTAGTAATCTGAAATAATGTTTGACAAAAATGTATGTAGGATGGGTTAAGATTACTTTTTCTTTTTAATCCTTGGACGGCGGACCACGAAGAGAGCAAAAATTTTAATTATTTTCATTTTCTAAATTGTACACTGTTCCTTTGAAAATTATTCTTCCAATATATGAAACTCATTCGTTTGAAAAATTGTACATTTAACTTTCGGTTAATATCTTTGTATATCTTTCCGCTGTTCAAGGGTTGACTTGAACATGTTAAATATGCTAATTTTTGAAACATTATAAAAAGAAAGAAAACGAAAAGAAATATGGAAACTTGTTCTTACAGAATAAAAAGATTTAATTCTGTATACATATTTTTTTTAAAAACGGAGTCCTTTAGTTTCTGTTTTGACCAAAACATAAAAAATAATGTTAACATTTTAAACGAAATTACACTTTTATATTGTAGATTGAAGACTCTTGTTGCTTGTTTAAAAATAATTTCAAATTTTATATACATAAAGTGTAAAAATACACAAAGAATATATAAAAACTGTGTTAGAAATTTATCACGTGTACAACACTGGAACATTTTTTAGGAATTTAATATGAATACCGTAAGTAATGGCAAAATTGAGCTGTTACTTCCAATCAGAAGATAATTGATATTTAATTAGCATTGGCGTAACTAAGATTTTTTCCTGGGGTGGACTAAGTCCCTTAGGTTTACTAAAAGTGTCAAGTGTCTAATATTTCTTAATTTTAACTTAATCCTTTGCACTCCAAGCAGTAGACTCTTGTTATATTGTAACGGACGAGGCAGAACATTTTGCAAGCTTCCAAACTTCAGTTGGAGGTGAAAAGGGAAATAAAATTGTATAATTTTTATCATAGGCTATGATGGTGGAAGAGTGGCACTAGTATGCTTAAAAATCCGTATGAAGATCAAATCGCTTATGGGACAATACAACGAGAGTTCACTGTAGTCTGCCCCAAACAATTTTTACGTCTATAAATGCATAGGCAGAACAACTGACATTAAAAGTGCAAAAGGTTCATTCTAACGATTCCTGTTATTAACAATTTTACATAATAAGAACTTTATCATATCTTTTATTTTTAATTGTATTGGTAGTAGAATTTTGACTCTAAAATTTATCTTTATTAAGATTAGATTTTACATGGCCTACCTGCTCCTTACCCAGTTCCAACAATGTGAATTAACTGTATTATACATACATTAATATTCAATTAATTATGAAATCGATATAAGACTTATAATTGTTTTATTACACGATATTTCTACGGAACCTAATATTTACAGAGAAAACTTAATATTCCAGTTGTATTTATATTTTTTATACATGCAATATTCCACAGGATGTAAGATTATCTTACAGTCTCGGTCAACTTGGGCTTACCTTAGTTAACCCTTTAAGTGAGAAAAGCGTATTACACGTACGCTTCATATACGAGTATCCATTAACCCTCGGACGGCGTACCATGGGGAGAGCCACAATTTCAATTTAATTCTATATTTCATATTATTTCCATTTTCTAAATTTTATGCTGTTTCTTTAAAAATTATTTTTCCAACATATGAAATTCTTTTGGTTAATATTCTAGTACATATATTTTCGAAATTTTGGGTTTCGATTGACCCAGACTCTGCTGTTCAAGGGTAAGGCGTGAAGTAAATAAAGTAAATTACCACCTAATACATATAAATTGTTATCTATCTTTATCAAAAACTATTAACGTTTATAAAAAACTATTTGACCATTATAATAGGTTGCTGAATTCGTCTACTTATAATACAATAAATCTTATTTCAAATATTTTTTCATAAAATTAACGAATGACTGATTTCAAGTGGCCTATTTTATTGCCTCTTGTATACAGTGAAATCAACTTACAGTGGACTCTCGTCATATTGTCACATGAGCAATTTGCTCTTCACATGAATTTTCAAGCATACTGTTGCTACACTTCCACTATTATAGCCTTCGAAAATGATACAATTTTATCCCCCTTTTCTCCTCCAACTGAAATGACAAAAGGGTACGTTTCAGGAAAAAATTAATTTACGTATTTCCTACGAATTCTTGTCATGCACTCATGTAACAGATAAAAGGTATGCTTGGGTTAAAAGTAAATTGCGAAGTAAAAATCCATTTTTAGTAGGAATTTACTAACGAAAGAATTCCTATCAGGATCGGATTAAGATTTCTGAAGCCAGGGGCTATCCAAGCTTTGAGCAATAGTAAACAAAATTTGGTTCAATATATTTGGACATGGTAAATGGAAGGTTTAGAAGGGGACCCGGAGTTGTTCCATCCCTTCATAGATCTGCCCTTGAATTCAGCGCTGATTCTTATCGCTCGTCCCCAAGTATAAATATCACAATTGATTATAACAGGCGGATTATTTTTAAGTGATTTTATATAGAATACTTTGGGACTGACTGATTATGATAACAATAACCGACTAATAACACTATCCGTGATTATAACTACCGATCTCACTTTAATTTGAACGTTCAAAATTATTTCAATGTTTTCTTACCTTTGACAATGCAAAATTCTAATTTTAGAAATATCGCAGCGTAAAATGATGGTTTCCTTTTACAGCGCGTCGCTATCAAAAGATTCAAAGAAAGAGTAGAAGTAATGTCCCATCACACAGCTTATTTTTCCATATCCTTTATCTTCGAAGACAGGAAGTTATATGTTATGCTTTTCTTAGGATCTTCTAGGCTCTCCCTAGATTCTTGCACGGTCGAGAACAAACGGTGAGAGGCTAGTCCCTCTTACTCTCTCCTTAACACATAAACAACGGAGCCTGGGTTAATTGTGATGCAAACTTACAAAACTTATACAGACATATTAACTTAAATTGGACGAATAATTTTTAAAGGAACAGTGGAAAATGATGGAAATGAAAATAATTAAAATTGTAGCTCTCTCCATGGTCCGCCGTTTGAGGGTTAATCAAGAGAAGTCTACGTTGCACCTGAGTGCACATATTTATAAAACAAAAAAAATTTCCACCTTCTTATGCATAAACTTCGTATTTTCAACAATATTACATACCTGAATACTTGTGGGGTCATCAGATTTATTACTACTGTGCTTACTATCTTCAATTCGGCAGATTTATAACCACCATTAACATTTTATTTTATCTCAATTGAGGACTTAAACATTTTAAAAACAGAATTAATGAAATATGTGAAGTTGAAGTTGTAGCAACATATAGTTAAAAAGAATAAGAATGTGCATATAAACAATTTCAGTACTAGTGGACTCTCGTTATATTGCCACATGAGCGATTTGATGTTTACATGAAATTTAAAGCATACCAGTGCCACCTTTCCACCAAGAAAATTATACATTTCTATTTCTCCTCCACCCTTTAAATGAATCTTTGGAAGCTTGAACGAGAGTCTACTATAGTTAGATTATAAATATTCCAAAGACGTTTATAGACTTTCTCATCATAAATAAAGAAATTTAATAATAATAATATATAAAATATTGATACGGTTATAGCCATCAATAAACTCAGAATATACGAGAAAAAAGTGTACAAAAGAAAATAACAATAACACAATCAAAACACTTTATTTTGTCTTCGTCAAAATTTAAAGCACGTTGTCTAGTTTATATGTACACAAGCATTGATGAGCAAATATTTAAAAACACGATATAATATTTACTACTGGAATAAGTAAATATGATTCATAGAAGTTTTTTAGCAATTAAATTCAACATGAGAAATTGTTCGTGTATACTGATATTAACACTAATAACTACCGACGTTTGATGCACACTGATTTTTAAGTTGGAAATAATGTAGAAAATTAAGTAGA